ATCCTCATTCCTGGCCCAGTTAGTTCTCTAGTTACCTGGGCCAGTAGCTTTGGGTTATCCCCTTTTGAAGCTCCAAACCCTGTGCTTGGAACAGCAAAATAGGGCACTTACAGGAGGTGGCACTTTTCTCTCTCATCTCAGAATTTGCCAACTTGTAAGCCTAGCAGTTTTCTTAAAGGGAACCGTATGCTAGTTGACCTGAAGTCTCCCTGTCCACATCGCGCTGTCCGGCTGGACTGGCTCAGCAGTAGACTTCAGCACACTGCTGCTCCTTCTCCAGCCCTGCTGGACCACACTGGCTTCCTCTGATGGGGGCTGAGGTGGCTGAGCACAGGCGGGGGGGGGGGGGGTGCTTCTGTAGCTCTCCCCTCCTGCTGCATCCTGCCAGGCCTCCTTCACTGCAGGATGGCAGCAGCTCACTCCTCAGCAATAATCTAGGGTGTGGGGGAAGCTTAGGGTTTGGGGAGGGACAGACCTAAACAGGGGAGTGCCGTGGGCTGGGGGCACTTGGCCAACTGCTAAACTTGGACACCAGTTTTATTTCATGCCCCTATTCAGCTGGTGAGCTGGGCTTCAGTTTTTCCCAGGCCATGCATACTTTTAATTTATTTGAGAGAAACTCTAATTGTATTTTCACTGCAGTATCTTGTATTTTTTATTTGTGATTTAAGAAATGTGAAGAGAAAATACACAGACACATAATGGCTAACAGTGTTTCTTTCATTCCTTGTTCTAGAGCTAACCACTCTAAAATTGTTTGGTAATGTCACTTAGTGTAATTAATTGTAACATATTCTTTTAAATAAATTGATTTATTGATGAAACAATTCTTTGGTTTCCTAGACTACAAATCCTTTGGGTTGTGTGGGAAGAAGGGAAGAGGGACCTTTGAGATTTGAGTTTAGAGTGGTCAATCTGAAAGTGAGAAGGAACATTTAACCAGTTTTTATCTAACCGGATAACTAGTGGGGCAGTCTTTGGAAGGCAGGGCATGAAGGAGAGTGTAGCAGAGAGAAGCCAGGGAGGTCCCTGGTTTGCAGTTCTGTGCCCAGTAGCTCCTTTGAAAATTCCTTTTCTCTCTCAGTTCTCAGAGGTGACTGAGCTTGGCCCTCCTGTCTGCTGGTCATTCGAGGCATTCCTTCCCAGCTGAGAACAGTTAAGGCCCCAGAGCCCTTGGGACAGCGTTTGGCACTGGACCCCCCCAGCCCAGCCCAGCCCAGCCACACATTCATTTTTCAAGGAACTCGGGAAGCTTTCTCTTACGGGGATCTGAACTGAAAAGTACACATTACCCCTAATGAATGCCTAGGAAATACTAGGCACTCGGGGTGGTTGTATCCCTTCTTCTGCCCACATCTCTGAGGATGTGGCTCCACTTACCTGCTCAAGATCACCTGCTCTTTTATGGACTGAACCAGCTCTGAAAAGCATTTGTAGTGGATCAGACATTTTTGTTGTTTTTATAAATCTTGCTTATTGTTTTTATAATCCCTGACTATGTACTTTTGGTACTTAATTGATATAAGAGCAAGGAGCAGTTTGATGTTTGGTTATTTGTTGTTGTTGTTGTTTTTCGGGGGAGGTGTCCTGGAAATTGAACCTGGTGCTTTACTACTGAGCCTTTTTTTTTTTTTGAGGCAGGATCAGAATTGTTTGGGGCCTCACTAAGTTGCTGAGGCTGGCCTTCAACTTGTGATATTCCTGCTTCAGCCTCCCAAATCACTGGAATTACAGGCCTGTGCCACTGTACCTGGCTTCCAGTTTGACATTTTCTTTGTCATTCAGGGTCTTATGCACCAGCCACTGGAGTTGAATATTTGGAATCTGATAAATATTACTATGTAAATGGGAAAAAGTTTGTTTTTTTTTTTTTAACAAGAATACATGGAGAAGTAGAAAGTAGGATTACAAAATTAGAATAATCTATCTACCATGTATTGGGCATTGTATTAAGAAACTACAACAGATAAAAAAGCAAAGAAAAACTTTCTGCTCGCTTATAGCCTCACAGAGAATGAAACACAAATGGCCATAATGCACAGTGGCAGGTTTCAGATTGCTATAAGGACTAGAGAAGGAGGGACTAGAACAGAGAGACCTGGGGAAGAGGGCAAAAAGGAGGTCTTCAAAAAAGGGCTGAGGATATGGCTCAGTGGTTAAAGCAGCCCTAGATTCAATCCCTGGTACCAAAAGAAAAGAGAAGGGGGTAAAAAGAATCGGCCTTGTCCAGAGAAATGCAAGAGTCCTTCTGGAGCAGGGCTTAGGATGTAGAATGAAGTGAAAGTAAGACCTTGAAGAGCTTTTGGTGCCAGGGAGGTGTGAGGAAGAAGAGGGGTCAGGGAAGAGGAAAAGAAGAAAGAAGAAGAAGAAAAAACTTATCAGTTTGAATTAATAAGTAGAAGCAGTGGATAATTGGAAGGAAATATGAGAAAAAAATGGGAAAGTAAAATCTTTCATGATTTAATAACACTGAATTTATGTGAGAAGTAAAAAGACTCCCAAGGCTTTACGTCTGTATGACTGGAATATAAAAATATTTAAGAGTTGAGACTTTTGGGAGAGAAACAGTTTTAGCCTTGGACTATTTAGGCATGGGTGGGAAGCCAGCCCAGATGTCAGCAGTCATTATTAATCAATTGTTCCCCAAGCACCTCGTAGTGTCTGGACGCTGTCCAGGGTAATGGCGATACAGTGGTGAACAAGACAGGGCAGGTCCTCAAGAAATGTCCCTGAATTGGCTTTTCACATCAACTCCGGCTCCTTTGGAGAACTGAGACCACAGGAGAGCAGGAGGAGACACACTGCAGCCTCTGGGTGGATGTGCACGGGAGATGGCGAGGCCGCACTAGACGAGGGACTTGGAGGTGGACCCGCTGGGGCTTTGCAGCTGGATTGGATACGCGAAGTGGGAGAAAGGGTACCCCAGATTCAGGCTCTCATGGGTACATCGAGAGCTGTTTACCAATGAAGACTAAGAGAAAAGGTAATAACGAAACTCAGTTCAGGAGGCAATCCAGCTTGGGAGCACCTGGCTGCGCCTGCTTCCTATCAGGTGGTGAAGGCCGCAGGGCATGGAGAAAAAACAGGGCAGAGGGCAAGGGGTTTGTTAGAAACAAGAGTGTGGGTCAGGGCCGTGGAAGTTCTCCGGTTTGGAGGAGAAGGGGCCTGGCTGTGGAAGGGCTTCCTTCAGTCACAAACCCTGGAAGCTAAAGCTGTGGAGGGCTTTGGAATTTTGGCAAGAGAATTGAAAGACGAAGGAAACCCTGAAAGAGAGGCCATGGCTCTCAAGCCAGCAGGGTCCGACCCCAAAGGAAAGGAGATGCCTTGGGTCCGTGGGTACAGTTCAAAGCTCTAAAAATACAGAAAGGGGATGAGAACACATTGAAGAAATCGTCAGGGCTTCTCTCCCTGAGCCCCGCCATGTTCTGATCACCTCCGTCTCCCTAACAGAGGGCCTTTTTCTAAATGTCTGTTTTCATTCTACGCCTGAAAGTTTCCCCGTCCCTGCTGGTGACAGCCAGTCCACTCTTCTGCCTCAAGAAGTTATCTGCCTTCTTTTTATGCTGCTGTTAACAGTGGACACAGCTTGATTATCACAGAAGAAGAGAGCAGTAGAGGCCGGCGCTGCGCTTGGGCGAGGGGCGGCCACACCTCAGCTCCTGAGCTCAAAGGAGAGGGAGGAAGGAGGAGTGTGGTCGCCTACCGCACACCGCATCCCGGGAGGCAGGTGCTCTTGGTCCAGCACCTACCTCTCCATCTTTCTGTTCTCTCAAACCCCCGAAGCTGAGACGGCTCAAGGGAAAATTCATAATAGGAGATACCAACTCCTGTTGGTCCTTTTCTGGGCTCCTTCCCGTCCCTGACCACACACACCTCCGTCTCTGTGGAACTGAGACTTTTTTATGAACTAGGCTAAAAATCCCGCCTGGTCCTACTGAAGTGTCCCATTCTTGGCCTCTACCACCCAAGAGTCGTTTTCCCCTGAAACCACATCCACAGAGCTGTCTCCTAGAACTTCCCCTTTTGCTTCTCTTTTTAAATAGTCTTAGTCTGGGGCACTTGGAAGAGGAGGCAGAAGTGAGGTAGGGATGGGGATTTACTCCTGTCCAGGGTAATGGCCAGATCAAAGTGGGAAGGTGAGCAGTTTATAAGAAAGCAAGTGACCCATGTACCATGAAGTCAGAGGCCACACCTGTGGGCTCCTCCTGAGCCAGCCCTAAAGAGGGGCCCAGAAAAGGTCTAGGAATTGGAGGGACCTTAGCGCTCAGAGAGTCCACCCTCTACCTGATGGAGCTCACTGCAGCAATCTGCTCCCTACTTGTTGGGACTCTGCCTCAGAGGACAGGTGAGAACAGCATCATGGGGCCTGGAGACGGCCCACAGCCTTCCCTTATTGGCCTTGTGACTCCGGGGAAGTCAGCTGCCCTCAAAGCCTCCCTTTCCCTGTCTGCAAAGTTATGTCCCACCTCGTGGGGTTGTTGGAGGTGGAATGAAGGAATATCCACGAAGGGTCTAGAACAGGAGGACACACAGAACGTGGTCGACGAAATAGAGGTCCAGAATGGAACATGCCTGGGGACAGGGCTCCCGAGAGTCTGCTCCCTGTGCCCAATTCTACAGAACATTCCGGAATTAAGCCCCAAAGAGGGGTGAAGAATAGAGTCACAGAGCCGCGAACAGGCGTGGACTTGCTGAAGGAGGGCTGAGCCGCCCGCCCAGCTGCTCCCCAGCTTCCTTCTCTTAACCTCCCTCCTTCCCCTCCGGTCCCTGCCCTCAACTTTCCAAGACTCTCATTGGATGCTTTTAAACTTTTTTCTTTATTTAGACAGAAAAGACCAACTCTTTAAAAGTAAAATGCAATAAATAAATAAGTTAAGCATAGAGAACTGTCTGAAACTGACTCCCCAGTCTCCCCTTCCCACTCCCACCCCCACCCCATTTTCTTTTCCCTAAAACCTTTTCCTAAAGAAAATGATCAGGTAATAAACCCCTTTAGCCCTCCCCACTCCCTTCCTCCCAAATACCCAGTTACCCCCCAAAAGCAAAGGGAGAAATCAAGAGAGAAAAAAATCCAAGGGCAAAATTGTCTAAACTCCCAGAAAGAGAGATGGCAGCGACCGGGCCGGGCCGGGCGGGCTGGGTGACGCACGGGTGGTCGTGGTATTTACACGGAGGGGGCCAGCAGAGACTGTAAACATTTTTAGGGGTTCAGGGGGAGGTCTTTTCCTCGAGAAAGGAGGAGGGTCTCTGTGGCTGACTGGCGGAGAGGCAGCCCTCAGGGCTCCCCCACACCCTCCTTGGAGGGGGCCCTTGGGGGAGGCAGTGAGTTTTAGGGCTGGGAGCCCAGGATTCAGGGATATCCTACCTCTAGCTGGGTGGAGGGGAGTGCGAGACCAGCTTCTGAGGAGCCCCTACTGCGGGGAAGAGGCTGGGGTGAGGGTGGGCTGGGGAGTGTGGGAGCCCCGCCGCCCACCCTGGGCTTCACGACTAGAGCAGGCCCACTGGTCGGGAGGCAGGTGTGAGCACTGGGCACAGAGGGCCCACCACAGGAGCCCGAGCAGAAGGCAGATACCCTGGAAACTTCCAGCCTATTCCTTGCTCCCTCGCAAAGGCCAAAAGGGCACCTGGGAGGAATAGGCCCGCGGAGCCAGGGAAGCCAAGCCACGGCCGTCAGAGAGGCAGGTGCGTAGCAGGAGCAGGCCAGTGTCCTGTGCCCCCGGGGCCGTGAAGCAGCTTTGGCCCCAGAGCCCAATCGAGGCCCAGGGCAGATGTGCAGAGAGGGCCGGAGCCAGTTGTGGGAGGAGGGTGTGAGGCACCCCTGCCTCTGGCATCTCCAGACCTGTGAAGGAAGGAAACACGGGTGAAGCTTGGGGAAGATGGGGGCAGTGCTGGCCGCAGGCTCTGGGCAGAGGGAGGGGGCTGGGGTGGGTGGTAGCATCAAGATGGGGCTGCCCGAGAAGGCAGGTCATCAAAAAGGCCTCATTCCAAACGGAACCATCCGGCCCCCCAGCCACAAGAGCAAAGGCCAGGAACAGAGGGGATGGGGGGCGTTGGAGGAGACAGAAGCCAAAGGCCATTAGGAAGGAAGCAGTCGGACAGCCCAAGGGAAGAGTGAGGGCTGCAGAGCCAGAGGGGAGGCAAGAGATGAGGAGCAACAGGCAGGCAGGGGGACCAGGAGAAGGGAGGAGTGAGAGACAGACAGACACCTGGAGAGGAGCCTCCGCAAGGCCAGGGCCACCCGGACTGGGCTTAGGGACGAGTCTCGGGGTGAGACCGCCCCGCCTCTAAGCAGAGCTCTCATTCCTTTTTGGAAAGGAACAGAAAAAGCAAGAGAAATGCACAGAACACAGACCACAGTCACCAACCACTGTTGACCAAGCACATCCCGCGAGCTGCCCCCGGCCCTGTCCCTGGGCTGGGGGGAAGCTTCCCTCCACGGCCCCTCCCCAAATAACAAACAATTGGCTCCAAAGACAACACGCTCGTTCCATGCAACTTACAGGGGCCCGGAGCAGGGGTCCGGGGATGGGGGCTTCAGCCGACAATGGACACGGGCCCTGGGCTGGGGGCCCCCGGGGTGGGGGGAGTTAAGCAGCCAGGATTGGGGGGAAAGGGGAGAAACAGAAAACGTGGGTATTGTTCTTGGGTTGTGTGCTTTTTTTTTTTTTCCAGGGGTTTAGTCCAAAGGAGATTAACACAAAAATAACCAAGGCGCACAGATCTGTGGCCCTGAGGTTGGGACGCTGGCCCACAGTGGGGTGAGGGGCTGCTAAGCGAACTTCATCAGGCAATGCAACATTCCAACCTCCGCCACCTAAACCAAAGTGACTCCCACGAGGCCTGCAGCTCAGGCTGCCCCAGTCGGCCCTGGAGGGGCCAGGGTGCACTGCTCTGAGTGGAAGTCACCTGGACATCAGGGCAGTGAGGACCTGGTGTTTCCACCACTGGGAGGACAGAGATTCCAGAAGCCAGTGACTCTAGGACCCTCAAGTACCCTAAACCAAACCTTGCTCCCCCAAACCTGCTCTCCTAATTTCATCCACCCAAAGGAGAACCAGAGAGTGAGAGAGACACAGACATGGACACACTGACCGGACAGACAGAACAGGTAGTGTGAAGCTCTGGGGCAGACACAGACAGACTCGGTTCCTCCTGGCTCACATGGAGTGAGTGTGAGTGAGTGTGAGTGAGTGTGTGAGTGTGTGTGTGTGTGTGTGTGAGAGAGAGAGAGAGAGAGGTGACTGAACAACAGCTGAGGCAGTTCCCCAGGTCCGTTTCCCATGCCCAGAGCCGGGTAGGTGGGGTGGCCCCTGAGGATGGTGGGAAGGGTGGGTGGCGCACTCGAGGGCCCTGGCTGCAGTGTGGGGGTCGGAGAGGGGGGCACAACACCGGAGCAGCACCCACCTGGAGCCCTCAGTAGGGCCGGTTGGCATCCTTAGGCCGCTTTAGCTGGACTTTGAGGCGCTTCATGCCGATCTGGAAACCATTCATGGCCTGGATGGCCGCCTGGGCACTGGCCGGATTGTCGAAACTCACAAAGCCTGGGGTGAGAGGGGCATAAGGCCAGCCGGCCCACCTCCCTCTCCTGCCGTGGGCCTAGGGCTGCCGCTCCGGCTTTCCAGACCTACTTCTTCTAGGTCTCGCTAATGCCTAGAATACTGCCTGCACACCGTGGGCATCAGGAAGTGCGTGTTGGCGGATGGGCTGAACGCGCGATCCCAGCGCAGCCACTTACAGAACGAGGACACGCTTTCCAGCACTCTCTGCAGGGCGGCCTCTTCCTCCGCCTGGTTATGTCTGAATCGGCCTTTTGAGAACTGTCATCGCCAGACCTTACATGGCTTTGAAACAAAGTCCCTGGAGTCCCTGGAGCAGCCTTTCAAAGATGTGAAGCGACTAAGACCTACCCCCTTTGGAAAACCAAACTCCCCAGACTGAGCCTACTTGACTCCATCAAGCATGGATTTGGCGGGCAAACTTTTGTGGATGTACACGCCCAGAATCGAACCCAGGGCCTCAGGCGAGCTAAGCACCCGCTCTACCAGCCAGCCATGTTCTGGCCAACGTTGGTCCTAACAAGGACGAAGCTGTGGTTTTCTACAGGAAGAGAAGAGCTCAGGTGCAACAAGTATGGGATGCAGGGTGTGTCAGAGATGGTCCTGTCCTGCCCTCGGACACTCAGGATCTCAGGTACAGGGCCCATCGTGACCACAGCGCTTTCAGTGGTATCAGACCGTGTTCTAACGTGGAGTTTGGCAACAACAACAACAACAACATGTCTACACTTGGTCTTTTGGATCATCGTATTCTTACCAAAACATTTGCTCTGATTGGTGGCCCGGTCAACAAAGACTTTGGCTGAGATGACATGGCCAAAGGGGACAAACATCTGGAGGATCTCTGAGTCCGTGAACTCCTGGGGCAGGTGGTAGATGAAGATGTTACAGCCATCAGGGCCTGGGTGGCGGCAGAGACCGAGGTCGTGAGCAACAGGGTGCCAGGAAGCAGACCCCGCAGGACCCTCCACTCCTAGCCCAGCCTGCGGCCAGGGCTCCGGCCACCCAGTCCCCATTTGTTTTCATCCCCACACACGGGCAGGAGCTAGGTTTGGCACAGGGCAATCGGAAGTCCCTGAGACCACAAGGAGGACCTTCCTATCCCTGAAGGCTTGTGGCTATGAGGACCCTGCCCAGGCCTGGCACCTTCTCGCTGCTGCTGCTGCTGCTGCTGCTGTTGCTGCTGCTGCTGTTGAGGCGGAGGTGGAGGCTGCTGGGCCACTAGGGCGGGAGGCTGCGGGAACGCGGGCGCAACCAGGCTGTAGGCTGCCGGGTAGGCTGCTGGGGGGACAGAGAGAGCCGAGGGTAGGCTGCTGGGGGGGACAGAGAGCGCTAAGGGTAGGCTGCTGGGGGGACAGAGAGCCGAGGGCAGGCTGCTGGTGGGGACAGAGAACGCTAACGGACAGATCTCCCTCCCCTCACCCAGGCCAGTGGGATCCCCAGAGCTAAGGGTCTGTCAGGAAAAGCCCCTCAGCCCCCCAGACCCATCCTGTGGATAAGGCTTGTCCGGAAAGTGCAAGGAGGCACTGGCAGAGCCGAGAAGCCCAGATCCACGCCTGGCCTCCTTCCTCTTGTGGTCCCCCCACTTGGGCAGGGCCTGTGCGAGGAGCCTCACCTGTATAGTGCTGCATCCCTGCGTAGGCCTGCTGCAGGGGGTCCACGGGGGCCGCGGGGCTCTGGGCTGAGGAGAGCAGGGACCCTGAGTGGCTGGCACCCAGCAGGAGCCACCAGCTCCAAGCAGAGACGGGCAGGGGAGGAGAGCCTCCGCTGGGCACGGGGTGCGGGGCCATAAGGCAGGAAGGACTGGGGTCTGGCTGTCGTGCTACCCTGGAGGTGTGGTCCCAGCTCTGAGCCCCAGCTTCCCTGGTCAGAAATAGAGAGTACCCCTGCCCAGGATGGAGGAGCCTCACTGGAACCCTGGGGCTAGATGGGGCAGTGTGGCGTGACTGCCAGGACGGGCCAGGTGGCTTGGAGGAGGACCAGGCAGGGTGACAGGCGGAGGGCCCACCTGGGTAGGGGTGAACCCCGTTGGGATACAGAGCGTCGGGGGCAGGCTGCCCAGTGGGCTGGGTGGGCACCGGGCTGTAGCCGTTGACGCCCAGGGCAGCAGGGATGGCAGAGACGGGCGTGGCAGCGATGGCAGGAGGGGTGCTGGTTCCTGGGAGGAGAGAGCCACAGAGACAGCGGAGAAGGGGACACAGAGGCGGAGGCCCAGTCAGCGAGTCTGAGGGCAGCGGAGCGACGAGCCCCCCTGGGCCCCACCAGGCCGTAGTGCCCTGGCCCCCCGTGATGCCCAGCCCCGCCCTGCCCTGCACAGGCCTCACCTGAGGAGGGGGTGATGGGGGTGGCGATGAGGCCATTGGCATTGATGGCGGCCATGTGCTGCATCTGCACGGCAGCCATGGTGGCCATGGGGCTGAGGTAGGCACTGTGGGCCGCTACCAGGGCCGCCTGCTGCTGCATCAGCTGGAAAGAGGGACACAAGGTGGGCTAGGCCCAATGTGTCAGGAAGATGGGGCAGGACACAGCGGCCAGGAGAGACAGGGACGGGCCAGGCTCAGCCAGGGCGAGTGCTTACGGCCTGGGTGTAGGCGCTGTAGGCTCCAAACTGGAGGGCGATGGGGCTGAACATGCCCAGCTGGGTGGCCACCTGCTGCATGCGTCGCAGACCTCGCTCCTTCTCGGTGTCAGCGAACTTCACCACCAGGCTGGATGAGGCACCCTGGGCACGGGCCCCACATGCAGGTCAGAGAGAGAGACAGTCAGCACCTCTCCTCCCCAGGGGCCAGCCCCTGGCCTCGTCCAGCCTCCTGCACTGGTGTCTTTGGATCAGAAGCCACCGTTTGGTCCACGCCACATGGGGAGATTCTGCTCTACCCGCTCCCTGTGCCAGGATGTGCAAAAGGCTAGAAAGAGTCGGGGACCGTGAAAGGGCGTCACCGCTCCTCCAGAGGATCCACACCTGGAAGTCCTCCCCTTGGTGGAAGAGCCACAGCAGAAGTCTACTCCTGCCCCAGAGCTGCCCCCACCTCCCTATAGGGCTCCTGCCCCACAGCCTGGTCCTCATGGTGTGCTCAGTGGATGCAGCCTCAGGCTCTAACACCAGCCTGAGCTGAGTTAAACACACACTGGGACATTTTCAAGGACTGTCATAGAATCTTAGGCTCTAGAGTGGCAGGGGCCTGGGGTCACCTAACAGGGTTCTCCACCCCATGCTGTCTCCTCCCCTCCGCGCCCCGCTCAAGGCTGCCCAGCTCTGCTGAAGACAACTGCCGCCCCTCAGAGCTCGGGAGTCGTTCAGAGGTTTGCTCTGCTGGGAGTTCCCAGAGGCACTCAGGTGACCAACACCAATGTCAACATGCATGGGGCTTCTAAGCAAGAGTCTGGCACCCCAGCAAGTGGGGTGGGGATATGGCAGGTCTGAAAGCCATGTAGGAGGTTGGAAGGGCTGAGGAAAGGAGGCGGAAGAGGAGGTGAGGGACTGGGCCTGAGGGTGAGGTGGGTACAGGAGAAGAGAGGTGGGGAGATGCTCTTTGACATATGGCCCTAGAGGGCTGTTTTTCTGCCAAGACATTCCTTTCAAATAATTGAAGAGGGCTGGGAACTGGCTCAGTTGGTAGAGTGCCTGCCTCGCGTCACGAGGCCCTGGGTTCCATCCCCAGCACCACCAATGAGTGAAGAATCCTATCCTGAGTGGACTGCCCCTCTGCGCCAGGGCCTGGGGAGGGGAGGCTGGGGAGGGGGCTGGGCTCACAGGCAGGGTCCGGCTGCTGTGGAGGGTGTTGATGGCGGCCTGGGCCTCAGCATGGGTCTGGAACTTCACGAAGGCGCAGCCTAGAGAGGTGGGGATAAAGAGAGGGGTGAGCCCCACCTCAAGGCCACGGGAGACCTACTGATAAGGGGCCAGCAGGGAGGGACAGGAAGGCCAGCCGGGAGAGGGGCGGGTAACTACCTTTGCTGGTGCCATCTGGCCCCCGGAGCACAGTGCACTCATCTATGGTCCCGAAGGGCTCGAACATCTTCCGGACGTCCTCATCTGTCTGCTGCTTCCCTAGCATCCCCACAAAGAGCTTCCGGTCTTCTGGGGGGTAGGGCACAGGAGGAAGGACATGCTCAGGCCTCCAGCTACTGTCCCAGCCTCTTCCCCGCCTCTCTTCCCTGGAGTCTGCCACTACTTCCCGCCCTGGGGACCAACGCCAGGGTGTGAAGTGGGTGCCGACTGGGAGTAGGGTGCTGGCGGCTCCATCTGGCCTGGGAACTCTTCAGAATGATCAGAATTTCTTCCTGGAGGAAGACTGCCCCTCACCTCCCCAAGCCCTGGGCCTGGGGTGGGAAGAGAGGCATGGAGTCTCGGGTGCGGACCTACCTCCTCGGCTCTCGCTGTCGGCGGGCTTGACCTGGATCGGCCTGTTCATCTGAAGGAGAGAAGAGAAGGCAGATCTAGGGCCTCCCAGAACTCCCAGGAGCCTCCCCGCTGGCCTGCAGAGGCTGGGAGAGCAAGCCCCAGGCCCAGGCAGTTTCCCTAGCCACTAAGTTTCCCGATGGGCAGCAAGGGCCTAGGATTAGGACCCGAGGGGATCAGAGGCAGGAGAGAGAGGATGTGAGGAAGATGCTCATGGGCACATGGGCTCAGCTTGGCCCCAGTGCCTGGGCCAGGGACGAGTGCTACTCTTCCTAGGGAAGAAGGGGTCCTGCCCATAGGACCCAGGTCCTGAGACAAAACCCAGCCAAGGGACTATTCAAGAACTGCCTTCCTTCTACAAAGTCGGAGCAACACAGGCCACCCCATGGAGAAGCCCCCAAGGACTCTAGACTGAGGGAGATCCCACAGAGGCCCAGAGTTCCTTCTGACCCCTGGAGGTGTGTCTGCTTCTCTTTCTGCCCCCCTACACCCCTTGACCCCAGGGGGAAGGCACTCGGGCAGCACAAAGGGAGCAGATGCCCAGTCTCCGTGGCAACGGGAGAATGCGCACCATGGCAACCGCCCACTCAGCCTGATTTATCCGTCCCCGTCGCCCTGGCGACCGTGGTGACGTCATCACTTCGGCTGCTCCACACACCCGGAGCAGGAGTGGGGAGGGGGGTGGGAACAGGGTTTGCTGGGGTGGAGGATTGGGTGGGGGCTGGGAGGTGGGGGAGGGGCCAGGAAAACGTCCTGGTCCTGGAGGGAGGTGTGCAGAGCCAGCCCGTGGGGGCCACACTGCCCCTTCTCTGCCTCCCTCCTCCAGAGCACATCCCGCTGTCTGCAGAGACAGCGCTGAAGGAACAGAGGATGTCCCCAGCTCCTTCGCAATTCTCCCTGGCTCACAAGTCCCCCAGAGCTCCCCCCTCTCCCTGACCCCTGCAGTGTCCCCCTTTGCTCAGTCTTCAGTGGGGATGGGGAATCGCTAGTTCCACTCTCCATGTCTTGTTTGGTGAGAGGACTTGGAAATGACTCCCACAGGTTGGTTTCCTTAGCAGGGTGGGGAGCTTGGTAGGAACCGGAAATGGAGAAGGACTCAGCTGCAATGTCTGAGGACTTTGACCACTGGGACCACACCTGTCCCCCTCATTCACCTGATGGTGGGGCAGTCCTATTCCAGTGCCTGTGAATAAATAAGAGTAAGAGTCGGGGCCAGGGCTGGGCTCAGTGGTAAAGCGCCCGCTTTGCGCGTGTGAGGCTCCGGGTTCGATCCTCAGCACCTCATGAAAATAAATAAAGATGCTGTGTGCTCATCTACAACTAAAATGTTTTTTTAAAAAGTAGACAAACTGTTCCTTTGCCTTCTGGGGGTGGGGCTGTGAGTTAGGAGACCTGGGCATGGGACCAACCAGCCCAGCCTTCCACTAGTTGTGTGACCTTGGGTTAGTCAATCTCTGCTCTGCCCTTCAACTTCCTCATCTGAAAACCAAGGGGGCGGACCAGGTGGTCTCCAGTCAGGTTCCCTTCCACGCTGGTGTCCCAGCGTTTGGAGACTCTGTGTGGCATCACTCAACACAAAATGCAGAAATGACAGCTGCCCCTGCACCTCCTTATGCTGGACCCATGTGCCAAGTCATGCCTGGCACTCTGCAAGGCATTCACAGCCTCGGACCAACCCTAACCCACCTCAAAGGACACTCCTGCGCCAGGCCAGGCCCCACCCCCAGATCTCTGGATCTGAGAGCAGCTGGTGGGGGAGCGAGGTCACAGTCCACAAATCCTCCAGCCAACAGCCCCCAGCTTTATCTCCCACCAATCTGGGATTATCCCATCTGGGGCTCAATCTCCTTAGGAGTGTGTGTGTGTGTGTGTGTGTGTGTGTGTAGGTCTGGGGTCAGAAGCCAGGGGCTTCATGGTCCTTCACCTCCTCTCCTGTACCGCAGCCAAAACAATCAGGAGATTTCCTCACAGACACCTTGGCAGAACCAGCTCGCCCCACCAGGGGCTCAGCACAGGGGACTCTTATGCGTGGCACCAACCCCTTCCCAACAGGCTCTTGGGGATTTGCTGTTCTGGTTGGAGACGGGAACCTGGGACCCAGAGAGAAAGGATGTGGTTCCCTCCCTGCACAGACTTGCAGGTACGAAAATAGCTCACAGTAAACAGCACGGCTGAGGTGGATTCTCAGAGACTCCTGTGCCTAGCCACAACGGGCACCATGGCGAGGGAGACCGCCACTCCCTCCAGGCCCCCGGTGCCCACTGCCAGCCTCCTTCCTCCTGGCCCAGCACTTCCTGTGAGAAGCTGAGGCTTTGTTAGCTCAGCTCTGGCACACCTGCCCCCTCCCCTGAGTCCAGCTGTGCCTGTTTACCTGGCAACCCGGCAGGCGCCTCTTCCCTAGCTACCACCCGCCAGGTGATAAGCCCTCCCCAGGGCCTCCCAAAGAGGAAGGGGCAACTTATACCCCAACCAAGAATCGCTGAGCTGCCTCGGACAGGATCACTTTTAAGTCCCCATTCTTCCCACCAAGAGCAAAGCCCCCTTTTCGAGAAGAGCTCATTGTTCCCACAAAGTCTGATTGTCTCCAGGGTGCAGGTCTTCCACTCCTGACTCCACAACTCTTCTCTGTGCCCGGGACCACTCACAGGTGGGGCCAGAGCCCACCTCTCCCTGTCCACAGAGTGGGATTTCACAGAGTAAAGGAAAAAGACGAGGACAAACAGATGCATCCTCCAGGAGACCCCACCTGGCTCACAGGACCCCTCAGGAACCTGTAGCAAAGCAGCCCCTGGGAGCTATTAGTGGAGAGAAGAGGAAGTGGGGCTTAATGGGCATAGATGCAACCCCCATTCTTTCTTTATGCAGCCCCAAACACTACTCTAATATGGTAGCACCTTCTAGATTTGGGCATAAAAAAGATGGGGAGCAAGGAAAGAGGGTTAAATGCCCTTATTTAAAAAAGAACCTGCACCAGGCATGGTGGTGCGTACTTATAATACCAGATACTTGGAAGGTTGAGGTAGGAGGATGGCAAGTTTGAGGCCAGCCTCAGCATCTTAGTGAGACCCTGTCTCCAAATAAAAAATAAAAAGGGCTGAGGTTGTAGCTTAGTGGTTGAGCACCCCTGGGTCAATCCACCGTAGTGGGCAGAAGGGGACCTGCAGTAGGAGGGCTTGGAGATTACAGAGTAGGAAGAACTTCCCAACAGAATCATGCAGCAGCTGACACACTGTACACACACACACACACACACACACAACACACACACACACACTATCTAAGGGAAAAGGCAAGTGGCAAAGAACCGGGAGGGTAAAAAGGGCCAGGGAGGACTTGCTTGCAGACACCTGCTTGCCTTGAACTCCTTGGGTCTGCTCCCCAAGCCCCCGGCCAGAGGCACCCCGTGGGAGAGTGGGACCCCTCATTTCTTATTGGAAGCTGTCAGATCTCTCTAGATTCTGTCCCCTGGGGCAAGGGCCAACGTGGGAACTCTGTGTCACCTGGAAGCTTTGGAGAAGGGCTAGACAATCATTAACCTGGGCTCCCTTCTCCCTCCCCCTCCCTGGGGCCTTAAGAAGGGTAGGCAGTGTCTCTGTGTCCTGGACACAGGGTAGATACCCCCAGTGGCAGGACCCACACTTGGGACTCACACCCACCCCTGCCTGTCTCCAAGTCCCCACTTTGGTCTCCCTTCTCTCTCTCTCTTTTCCCCTGATCCCCTCTGGTTTCTGCAGAGACTCTGAAATAGGGAGACAACAGGGAAAGACTAATGGCAATGGATGTGAAAACTCTTTGATTTGTTAGGGACCTCCAGAGAGAGAAGGGAGGGAAAGAAAGATGGGACTCAGTGGGGACCAGGCTCATGTGTGCCCCCCCCACATCTGGCCTGCTGGGTGCTCACATGCGTGCGTGCGTGCATGAACACATGCTCGCCCTGGATCCCAGAGCCTCTCGCACACAGGCACGGTCCTCCGCTGTGCAGGGACGCTGTTCTAGCTACTGAGTGGGACAAGGTGATGGGGAGGGGCAGCGGGGTTACCTTCCCAGCTGAGGGCAGAGGCCAGGGAGGACCTGGAAGGGTTTGAGGTTGGGAGAGGTTCGAACAGTTCTGATTTTCTTGGATCCTGTCCTCCCCGCCCCCATCTGTTCTGTCTGTTTCCCTCCCAGGAAGAGATGGATGATCAGCACCATTCTCTGCTTCCCACGTGGGGAAGGAATAGAGGCCAGATGTGTCTCCAGCACCCAGACTGTGCTGAGCAAATGTTTGCTGAGAGCAGGGGTGGAGTTAGATCTCAGGAAGTACTTCCTGGGATTCACAGTCTGGGGAAAACAGAAGCAGACAGAGCAAAAGGGAATGGGGTCTCCTCTCCCTTCAGTTCCATGAGTTGGGTGGGGGGCAGTCTGAGATTCTTTATTCCTAACCTCAGTTGTCAGCCCAAGTCTTGCAAGGCCAACTGAGAAAAGAAACAAAGAGATGTGACCTTACTGCGGGGGGGGGGGGGACCACATCAGGGCCATCCCAGCCTCCCTGGGCGCACTGGGCAGGGGCAGGGGCAGGCCTGCTTCTCCACAGTGTTGCAAGCCCTGTCCTGGCTACCTCGTAATCATGTCCAGGCCTCGCTCCAGCCCTAGGCCTGTGCCTCTGTTCCCAGGGCTCTTCCTTGGAGACCCGAGGGGAGCATGGCTGAGTTCAGAAACCAGCACTAGGATGCCAACCAGCAGGCCCAGCTGCCTAGTCCCAGGGTGGCAGCACCCCTCCCCCATCTCACAGCCCCCCAGGCTGCTTCTCCAGAGCCACAAAAGAGTGCTTGGGTGCCTCTGTCAACCCCGACCCGTGGCTCCTGGTCCAGGGTCTTCTCCCCACACTCCCCACTAAGTCATCCCTCCAGCGCGGTCCTGAGGGCAGGTGGGGAAGTGGGGGAGGGGCTGCATCTGCGCCTCAGAAAGGAAAGGTCAGTTTACGCCACTAAAGGTTCTTGTTCCTCCTCTCCAGGTAAGAAGAGGAAAATGCATGCATCTGCAGGAAGAAAGGTGGATGCTGAGAAGAGAGGGACTTCCTGGTGATGACAGGGGGGGAGTCCCCTGCCACCTCTAAGACCTTCTGGCCTCCTGGCCCTGAACAGGACGGCACTCACCCCTGGAAGCGTCTTCTGTTCGTGCAGGGCACTCTGGGCCTTCAGGGCTGAATCGCGGGCACAGTATGTCAGGAAGGCACATCCTGAGGAGGGCAGGGGCAGAGAGACAGGGTGGGGGTGAGTCCTGGCCTCCCTCCCTGACGGGCTCCCCCAGGAGACGGAGGACTGGGGGGGCTTTTCCCATCTTGCCATCTCCTGCCTGCTGGGCTGGGGAGCTCTGAGGGGTGGACGCTCCGTCTCAGAAGTGGGCCTGCTGGTGAGGTGGACCAGGGAGGGTGCTGGGCTCTTAGGAGATGGCCCAGGTGAGAGCTCATGGCCTGGTTCTCTCTTCCTCATCCGCTCTCCTTCCTCTTCCTCCCTTGCCTTTCCTTCCCCTCCATCTTGGCCACCCCTCTGCTCTCCAGTTTTGCCTGCTTTCTCATGTCTCCCTGATGACAGGGGAGGCAGGTACAGGCTGGAGAGTGGATCGGAGAAGGAGAGGAGAGAGCAGTTAGCCGGAAGTGCTTTTTCTCGGAGCCCAGTGGTGGGAGGGGGGGAGTGTGGCCCTCCTTTCCCCAGCGATTGGAGCTCTTCAAGCCCTGACCCTGGGTCAACCCTGCTTAGCCACACAGTCCTTGGAGAGACCTCAGGGGCATCCTCCCTTTTAACTTCAGACCCTCACCAATCTATCCTTCATGCCCTACTTCTCAGGTCCCCCTCTTCAGTCTTGGGGCTGCCGTGCCCAGGTCATTTCCACAGGCTGGGCACCTGACTCTGTGCCCTGACCCATGTCCCAACACTATCTGAGGCTACTCAGAGCCTCAGTTCTGCCCAAGACACACACACACACACACACACACACACACACACACACACCCCTCCAGCTCCCTGTCTTCCAGACCAGCTCTCCTGTCTCTTCATTCTTCCTGGAGTCCACCCACAGCATCAACACCTCCTTTCATCTCTGGGATCCACATTTTTGCAGCCTCTTGAAAACTCTTCACCCCAAAGCGCACCCCTAAGTCCTCCATCCTCAGTCCCCTGGTCACTCTACCTGAGTTCTCGTCCACCTCCTCCATCCGTCCGGAGTCCCCTGAGCCTGAGCACTTCTCCCCCAGATCAGCCCTTCCCAGTCACTCCATTTCTCCAGCCTGGCCTCTCCCTTCGTCCCAACCTCCCAGTCCACCCACGGCCACCCCTCCAGCCTAGCCTGACCCCTCACCCTTGTGCAGCCCGGTGTACTTGTCCTTGATGACAGTCAGCTCGAAGATCCGACCAAACTGCTCGAAGATGGGTTTCAGGTCCTTTTCCTCCAGATGCCTCGGGATCTGCCCCACAAACAGCTTGATGGCATCCGGCTCCTTCATTGGGGCGGCCCACGAGGAGGGGCCGAGGGGAGCAGGGAGAGGCCCCAAAGCCAGGGGAGCTGCCCAACCAGGAGGCAAGTGGTGGGGGCCGGGGGCCCCGCCTGGGCTGGCTTTCCCTTTGGCCCCCAAACACTCTGAGCCGAGGAGCAGCTCTTCACACAAAGGAGGCCCAGGGAGCCGGGCCGAGGGGTCAGGGGTCTAGGCAGACACTGTCGCGCCACCAGGGGGCATAGCCCCACACACGGTCTCCCTCCCGGAGACCTGGCAGAGATCCCAGGATGGGGGTCAGTGTGGCCAAGACCCGAGGGCTGGGGCGCAGCCGGGGCGCTGGACTTGGAGGGCTGGGGCCGCGGCGAGGGAGCTGGAGGTGGGGGACCGGGCCTGGCCCGGGCGCTGGGCGGAGACTGACAGGGCTGCCAGGCGTCAGAGGGGGCCCTCCTGATGTGGGGCAGGTGGATCTCTCGCTGGCTTCCCCAGGGAGGACACCTCCCTGTGGCCGGTCCTTCTGCGGGGTCCGAAAGAGGCCAGACGCTGGGTCTCGGACGGCGGCAGGGCTCCGGGGGTCCCTGTGGCCCTGCCGCCCCCTCAGGTCCTCCCTCGCCCCCCCACCCCACCCCGGCCCCGGGCCTGGGCTGCTGCCGGCTGCTCCCGCCGCGGGCCGCCTGCTCTCCCGGTCACCTGGGTCCCGGAGCTCTGCTCTCCGGCCGCGCTCTCCTCAACAAAAACCTCCCCCTCCACACCCCCTCCCCACTCCCACCCCCTCTCCCCCGGCAGCGGTGATGTCAGTCTCAGGGGCAGAATGCAAATTCTCTACCCTGGAGAGGGACGCACAACCCAGGCGAGAGCCACGCCCTCTTTCCGTCTCGGTCCTCCCGGACTCCCTTCCCGCCCCCAGAAGAGCAGCTGGTCCTGTTGATGACAACCCTTCCCCCATCTTAGCCCCAGCCAGGAGTTGGGCCAGGCACTAAGATGGAGAATTTATAGAGGAGCCCTAAGGTGGGGTCCATTGTTCCGGGGGCTGGAGCTGTCCCCGGTGCTGGAAAGAAGACCCAGGAGATGGGAGCTGGGGGCGGGGAGGAGAGGGAGTCGGCATGGGGGGAGCCTGAGAGTGGAGATCCAAGGAAAGAAACCACGGGAAGGAAATCACGGATACAACAGTTGGGCGGGTTGAGAGAGAGGGAGGCATGGACAGGGAGGGACACAGGTCGCAGAGTCTGGGGACCGAGCAGAAGGGACCCGGGGAGGAAAAAGGAAAGGGAGGTGGGAAGAGGAAGAGCAGGTTGAGGGATGAGGGCAGAAGGAGAACTGTGTGTTTTCCAGAAAAGGAACCAAGAAGCACTGTCGCTTGCTGGCCTTTGCCGACACCCCCTTGTCTCTCTCGGGGTTCGGGTGTGTAAGTGTGTGGGCAGGGAGGCGCAGCGGGAGGTCACTTGCTGGCCTTTGCCGACACCCCCTTGTCTCTCTCGGGGTTCGGGTGTGTAAGTGTGTGGGCAGGGAGGCGCAGCGGGAGGTCGCACTTGGAAGCGCCTTCAAGACCAAGACAGCGTTCAATCCAGGGTTCTACTGTTCCCGGTGTCTAGCACCGTGTCTTTTTCAAGCGTAGTAGGTGCTTAACAAACACTTCGTGACAAGAGTGGACTCCTGATTCTCTCGGTGGGAAGAAACACAGCTGCCAAGTCCCCGTCAGGGAAGCAAAGCCAAATTACTCCTTCCTTTGCTTCTTCCTTCAAGTGAGTTCCTTGGATGGGACTCGCTCTGATTGAGTCAGGTAGCAAAAGGAGTCCGGAAGCACCTCTGGGAGCCATTATTCCCTGAAAACAATTATACCTGTATGCATGATTGGCATGCTCCAGGATCTGAGGGAACCTGCTCCTGCGTTCACTGGGCCCACTCAGCGACAGTGGTGGCTGTCAGAGGCTCTCCTACCAGGACTCACAGCTTTTGACTCACACCCGCCCTCCCTGTCATTCCCTTCCTCACCCCAGGGTGGGGCTGATGTCTTCACAGTGGTGCTGGTGTCTTTGAAATGTGTCCCAGCCCAATCCCAGAGACTGACAGTCTCCTCTTCTGGAAGCGAAATAATAGTAACAGCACTTATATGGCACTTACATTGTCCCAGGCATTGTTCCAAGTGTGTTTTACTTTCTAACTCATTAAAACCTCACCACCGCCCTGCGCCCTGCGAGGTGGATTCTATCATTATCTCCAAACAGAGATGAAGAATCCAAGGTACAGAGCGATTAAATAACTTGCCTCAGGCCATGCAGCTAGAAAGAGGTCTTGCTGAGATTGGAGCCTGGGCAGTCTGGCCCGAGTCTTCGCACTTAACTCCCACATCAAACATTCCTCTTGGGAGTGGGGCCAGTGGTTAACCCTGACCTTTCTTCCTCTTCTGTCTTCATTTAAGCCCTGGGTGAGACAGTCCTTCTTTCTACTGCTTGATTCCATACTGACCACCTGCCATCCTTCCTTAACCTGGGTTTTTGTGTCCTGAAGCTACATTCTGACAGGTGCGTATATTTGAGTGGAAGTGTGTGTGTGTGTGTGTGTGTGTGTGTGTGTGTGTGAAGATTTGTGTACACTTCATCCTGTGGATGCCCAGGCCCTCAGTAGGGGACCCTGAGATGGAGATGGGGTGAGGGCAGTAGTAGTAGTAGTAGGAACTCAGGGGCCAGGTTCCCTCAGATCCTATCTCCAAAGTGGCTTTGAGTCAGGTAGTAGTTGCCCACCCCCGATGCTGCTTTCCTGCCTTCTAATCTGATCTTGGTATTTATGGAGATGCTAAATAGATCACGCCCTCTGAGGATGCAGAAGGGAAGACCCCACAGCCCACTGATCTCATTACTCTGTGTCTTCTCAGCAGATCTGCCGCCCTGAGGCTCACTCAGGCTTGGACCTAATCATATTAATTGAAATATTAAACATTCACAAAAATGAATTTCAATGAACTTCTCTCAGTCCTCCTCCCAGTCAGTAATTGGGGAGACAGCGGCAGCCAACAAAACGCCTCTGAGCCTTCACTTTATTTGTGGCCCCAGATGGGAGGTGTCAGTCTGAGAAAAGAAGCTGGATTTAGGGGGGGGAGCTCTCATCAGACCCTCCTGGCACATCTCTCATGTTCTTTCAGGACAGGGGGATGGAAGCCCTGTGAGGTAAGGATTGGGGGGTGGAACCCTATGACTCAGGGTAGTATTCTGGGGAATTTTTCTCGAGGAGGAAATGAGGCCTCACGCCCTGATTCTTCCAAGATACTTTCTCTGCCTACCATCCCTCTTTCTCATTCCGTTGCAGTCAAAGCTACCTGCCCTATGTAAAAAGATCATTGACTTTATAAAGGAAGAGTCCTGTTCCTGGTTTTAGATTCTGAGGAAGTGAGAAATGCCAGATAACTGGGATATTTTTTAGAAAAGGTAAAATGTGATGGCCTATGTGGGCAGAGCAGCTGATCATCCAGTACTTACTGCTTCACTGAACCCAACGAAAACGTCTGCAGCAGAATTATGAAAGTACAAAGGACAGATTATGGAACCTTCCTGCCTTCAAGTGGCTTGTACCCCAAGTGGGGAAGTGAGACAGAAAAACACAATCTGTAATAGTGAGAACGGAGATGCTGTTAAGAAAGCCAAAGTAGCCTCTCTCACATACGGGCATCTGGACAATAGGGAGTGATCAGTCAAGAAAGGATAAAGTGCCAGGCATGGTGGTGCCTTGGCAATTTAGTGAGATCCTGTATCAAAATAAAACATAAAAAGAGGGGCTGGGGATGTGGCTCAGTGGTAGAGCGCTTGCCTAGCACCCGTGAGGCACTGGGTTTGATCCTCAGCACCACACAAATATAAATAAATAAAATAAAGCAACTGTGTCCATCTACAACTCAAAAATATTTAATAAATACATAAACAGGGCTAGGAATGCTGGGTGTGGTGGTGCACACCTTTAATCCCTGTGTCTCTGGAGGCTGAGACAGGAGGATCACTAGTACAAAGTTAGCCTCAGCAACTCAGCGAGACCCTGTCTTTATTTTTTAATTCTTAAATAGATTTTATTTATTTATTTATTTATGTGGTGCTGAGGATCGAACCCAGTGCCTCATGCATGCTAGCAAGCGCTCTACCACTGAGCCACAACTCTGGCCCAATAGTATATGTATATATATATATATATATATATATATATATATATATATATATATTTAACCTGCTATATCCAAATTCTATTTCAACAGGTAATCAAAAAAAAGTTATTAGCAAAATACTTTACATTATTTTCACACTAAGTCTTCAAGATCCAGAGTGTCTTTTACATTTCCAGCACATCTAACACCTACAGCCACATTTCAAGTGTCAGAGCCATGGGTGGTTCTAAGAGACCACACTGGCTAGTGCAGATCTGCAGGGGTCACCGTTAGCTTTTCTGGGCAGTGTGAGGTGGAGAAATAGATCTTAGCCAACAGGACCCATCGAGTCTGCTTAACCTCTGCTCCCGCAGGAAAACTAACTGTTCTGACAGATGGCAGCTTATCTCCCTCTCACTCTCTTAACCTTCTCTCCTAAAAAGCAAACAACCAAAATGATCACTAACCCACAGGAGGCTCCGGGAAGAGGTCTGCAGCCCAGTAGCTAGCGTACCTCTTTCCCTGGCTGGGAACGGCCTCTCCGAGTCTTTGCAGACCACTGAGGGCCCATCTAATGCTGAGCTGGTTTCCCGTGCTGTTTCCCTGTTCCTTGGGGCAGTGGTTCACAATCCCTGTCGGCTTCTCTCAGCCTCTGAAGGCTGCTGCTGCGCGAGACCCCGTGGGTGTGGAAGCTCAGCGTGTGCGTGTTGACAGGCTCCTGCCCTTTCCAGGCGGCCACTCTCAGCTCCCTAACCCTCCTTAATCAGATACTAGAAGGCCCATTCCCCTTCTCCTCCCTTATCCCCTAGGGAGTGAGAGAAATAATTCGGAATTTTGGGGGAACCCAGGGTGAAGAGAATATTAATCTACATATAAGAGGGGAAATTCTGCCAGGGTGCCCTCTCGGTCCTTTCCAGCACCTTCTCTGGGAAGGCCCCTTCCTTTGCAGAGCCCCTCACTCCAGCTCCGGGGCGCTCCCCTGTTTTAGGAGTCCAAGGCTGCAGAGAGCGTGGAGGCGGTGCCCGTGATTCGCCCTGCTCGGGAGGCTGAGGCAGGAGGATCACAAGTCTGAGCAAGTCTGGGTGCTGGGGAGGTACTTGAGTGGTAGAGTGACCCACGCCGAGAGGCCCCGGGTTCGAAAGCCAGTGTCAAGGGGCAGGGACGGGGGCAGGGACGAGGGCGGGGAGACGCGAGATTCAACGTCCGCGTCTGGGGACGGACAGCAGGTCGGCCTCGGGGTGGTGGATTCCCCGCCCCGTGACCAGGCGTCCTGCGGCTTCTGCCTCCGCCAGGACCGGATTCCGGGGGACCCTGCCCTAGGGACCTTTATTCCTGTTTTGCTCTAGAACTAAGCACGGCGCTTGGGTGGGGCCAGAGGAAGGCTCATTTCACAGAAACTAAGTTCAAGAACCGGCCCCAGAGCCGGGGCACCTCCCACGCTCGCTCCTCGGCGGCAGAGGGGACCCCACTGCGCTTCCCTCAGCCCCGCCCCCGTAGGGGCGGGGCGAGGGCAGGGCGGGGCGGGGCCTCGCGGCCGCGACCCGTCGCCTGGACGACCGCCCCAAGATGGCGACGCTGCAGGGCGGGCTGCTGGGGCCGGACCCCGGCGCGCTGAGCCCCGCGCAGCTGGAGCAGCTGCGAAACTTCAAGGTGCGAGCGGCGCGCCCCCGCGCCCACGCCCATCGAGTCGTAGCTGGCGAGACAGGCGCCCCGGCCGGGAGGAGGGTCCCTGAGAGGAGAGCGGGGCTGCCCCAGAGGAGGGCGCAGGGCTCAGGGGACGGCGGCTCTCCGGGCTGCTGGGTCCCCGGACCGAGTCCGCCCAGGTCTGCAAGTGCGAGAGCCACAGCGGGGGTGGCGCCGAGCAGTGGGTCCGAGGTCCAGCCTCGGGTTAGGGTGCGGACGTGGCGGCAGGCGGAGCCTGACTCGGGGGCTCGCGGCGGCCGCTCGCCCGAGCAGGAGGCAGCGCCGAGGTCAGGCCCGTGCGAAGGTGGGCGGCCTGGACCTTGGCGCACCCCGAGAGGAGCCCGTGAGCTTCCGCGGCTCCCCGCCTTCACCCCCGCGGGCGGAGCCTGATCTGCGGATGGGACGTGACCTCTGCTCTTGCCCTCAGATCCAGACCCGGATCGCCAACGAAAGGTACCTGAGGACTCACAAAGAGGTGGAGCTGCTCCTCAGTGGCTTCTTCAGGTAGGCGCTTCTCCAGATGGCCCAGCACCGTGGAAAGCCCACAGGTCTACGGGACAGAGGAGTACGGATGACCTCTGTAGTCATTCCCCCTCTTCTAATTTCTTCAAAGTCGGAAAATATCCCAAGATTTAATTTTGTTTTTCTAACTCTGGAATTTGTCACACCAAGGGTTTTCTTCAGGTATTTCTTAGAGATTTCCTCCAGTTATCTCTACATTCTTAAAAATATTAAGTTTCATTCAGCTGTAAAGGTAAATGTATGCCGTATACACTAGAATCAAGAGGGAATCTGGCATTGAGAAATCCAGCAGGCATCCACTGGGGTAAACACTATTCTTAATCAGAAGGACTGAACAAGATGAACAGTAGAACTCAAAAAAAAAAAAAAAAGTCAAATGTCTGCCCTTCTCTACCTGAGAACATTGTTGTAGAAAAACCGCAAGAGTCAGAAGCCACTAATTCCTTGGGCCAAAGAAGACCATCTTCCAGTGTATCCTTCCCCTTCTGCCTGGCATTGCTTGAATGGAAAGGCAAAAACTGAGGCAAGAAAAAAAAATTTTACGGAGCAGCAATCAGGATGAAAACAACAGACAAGAGAATCTCAGATACTGTTTGGCTACAGACAGAGCGGCAAGGTTTAAATAATAATGGCTTCCATTTCCAGGCACTGTGTTGTTTCACTACTTGGGCAGTCATCACACTCTGTTGTAATTGCGTTGCCAATCTTCTGTTTCTGGTCCAGAGCTCCAAGCTGGAGGAGCCGTGTGTGTGTGTGTGTGTTTCCAGTGTTGACCCCTACACAGTGTTTGGCATTTTGGTTCCATTTTGCTGATCCCCCCAGCCACACTACAAAAAATAGCTTATTATCATTTCTGTTTTACAGGTGAGACAGTCAAGCTCAGAGAAGTATAAAGTACCTTCCTCAAGTTGCTGACCTAGGATTCGAACCCTTGGTTCTTCCACTGTATTGTGCTGTAAGCACAGGTCCACAGGAGAGCCAGCTTACAGCCAAGGGGCTGCTCAGTGGGCCTCAGGGCTGGAGTGGAGCTCAGTGGCTAGTGAGGCTCTGAGTCTCTCTCTCTCACACACACACACACTCACACACACACACACACACACACACAGGCACGCAGACCTGGAGGCCCCTTTTTGTTTTCTTGGGTCTCGCTATCCTTCATATTTTAGCCATTTCTCCCAGCAGCAGCCTCACACGGCAGGGAAGCAGCAGGGAAAGCTGAAACCTGTTCAGTTCCTGGTGAAAGTGGGCTCCTGGGGTCAGGGATAAAGGCACAGGAGTCATCTGTCAGTACCAGACCTGGGATCAGGCCACCCCCTTTTGCATCTTTTCCTCTTAAGGGAACAAAGAGGGACATGGTTTCTTATGCTAGGGAGTGTGCAATCCAAGTTAGGAATGGTTCCAGCAGGGAGATTGGGTATAAACGGTAAAAGCCTGAATTAAATCACCATTTCATTGTTCACAAACAACAGGGTTAGAACACTTGGGGGTGGTGAGTGAAGAGGGGGCTGTTGTTTCAGTCACATGTTGGGGATGCCCTGCTTCTCTGTACAGAAGAGTTTCCAGGAGGAGGCCTGGTGTCTGGGCCTGGCTGCTGCAGGGACAGCCCCAGGCGCCCTCCCATTCCTTCCTTACCATCACCCCCCTTCCCAAGACCAGGTTGGCCACCAGGCTCTTCCTTTTGCTGTTCCTGAAGCTCCCCTTCATGAACTCCTCCTGGCCCTTTTTAGGCCTTTTTCTAGGGTGGAAGAGGGCAATGTTACAAGCTGCAGGGTTTGCTTTGTGTGGGGGTTACTATGATTTCCTTTGAGTGATAGCAGGGTGAGCCAGAATCAGCCCCGTCTTTGTACCTGATATTTCACAGGGTCCTTCCTGTGAGAAGAGGAAGGGTGTGGAGAGGTCAGCTTGCCTGTCTCTGCCCATCTTGCAGGTCTCTGCTCTCTACTTGCCCCAAGCCAAGAGAAGCTCAGAACCATTTTTGTGAACTTGCCCCTTGAATTTTCTGGAATCTAGTGATTGATGGTCATTCAGCCACACCTCTCCAGTCTATAACAGAAATATGCTGTACAGAATCCTTACCTTAATTCTTCCAATTTTGGACCTGAATAATGAAAAGAGTAGAGGTCAAATTTATTTTAGGCACCCAGAAACTAAAGGTTTGGGGCCAGAGATATGATAGTCATATGTGAAACTGTAGAAAGCTTTATTAGATGTTTTGGTAAAAACCTAGGCAGATGAAACTTCCAAATTGTAGTACTGGTCATATTACTCCTTGGTTGGAAAAATCTTCAGTGACTCTACCTTATCTTTTTTGTTTCCAAACATTTTATCAAAATATATAGAGAAATGACATATTCTAAGCTGGATGAACTTGTCCTCACACATGCTACTAGTGTCCAGGTGAATAGATTAAATGTTAGCAGCACCTAAGACCTTTTGTGGCCCCTTCTAGACACTCCCTGCTGGCTCAGGGGTCACTCCAGTTGAACTGGGCTGACTGGGCTGTGCACAATAACCCCACAAGAGACACAAATACCTTTTTCTTTGGGGTTGCTGTGACGGCTCCTCTGACCTTAAGGGTCCGCAGGAACGGAGAGCGAGAGCAAGCGCTGACCCCTTTTATTGAGGAGAAGCTATTCAAATGAGGCAAGGGGTCAGGTTTCAGGGGGCAGAGTATCTTCATGATGTCCACTGTCAGCAGGTTGGCTGACACCTGGGTAGGCCACACCCAAGGGCACAGTAAGAGGAGGGGACACACACAAGGCACTTCCATGGAAGATTCTATCCTAAACAGGGCAAGGGGTTAGATTACACAGGAACAGGTGAGCATAGCTTCACCCATGGGACTGTCGCAAGACACACCCATGCACGAGACACCGACCCTCCACCCTCGCACCCAAGAAGGGTGGGGAAAGCTCTGCCACGTTTCTGCCACTGAGCGCCTCAGCACCCAGCCGGGGGATGTGACTCAGTCACGTGTAAAGTTGGTCTCCCACAACTCCCCTCAAATGATAACCAGTATTCTTTTTTTTTTTTTTTTTTTTTGGTATGAGGGATTGAACCCAGGGACACTTAACCACTGAGCCACATCCCCAGCCCCTTTTTATATTTTTTATTTTGAGACAGGGTCTTGCTCAGTTGCTTAGGGCCTCACTAAGTTGCTGAGGCTGGCTTTGAACTCTCAATCCTCCTGCCTCAGCCTCCCAGGCCGCTGGCTGACTTCTAAGAGCCCCAATTTGTTTTGTCTTTTTGGAATCTTACATAAATGGAATTCTGTAATATGTGTTCCTTTGTGCCTGCCTTCTTTGCTCAGTATCTAGTAGATCTTCCATTCTTCTGATTGTATGACTGTACCATATGCTATTTACCTATTCTCCTTGTTTCGCTTGTTGTGATGCTGGAAATCAAACCCAGAGCCTCTATATTCCAGTGCTCCCACTGGGAATATACGTATACAGCTGGACTTGCTGTATACCTTCCTGCTCCCCCATGGAAATTCATAGTTAGACTTCCTTGGGACACTGTGGGTCTGCATGTCTGTCCCATCACACTGGTGTCCCTTGAGGAACCTGCAGCACACTCTCAAATTTGCTCTCTGTCCCTGGCTTGGTCCTGGTTTTGTGAAAATGTTTGTTGAATGGATGACCAGATGTATATAGCAGTACAGCTCTTCTGTGAACTGAGCAGTAGCCCGTGTTCCCACTTAGGATGTTTTACTCCTTGCCTAGATCCAAGTTGAAGAAAAATCACAAATGGAAAGGTCCTTGTCTTTGGTCCCCTGGCTTACTGACTTCTGGAATGGGTGTGACAATCTGCTATGAGAGAGCCTGGGGTGGAAGCAGTGGCCACAGCCTTCTTAAACCTGTGCTATCTCCTTCCCTGTCCCTTAATGTTTTCCAGAGAAATGTTTCTGAAAAGACCAGACAACATCCTAGAGTTTGCGGCAGGTGAGTAGGGCAGGTCAGTTTGCCCCGGGGCGGGGTGGGTCGTTGTCCTAAAGCCTGTGCAAGGAATATGCCTGGGAGTTTAGACTCCCGACGGCCCAGGATTCTCTCTGCAGAGTCTGGGGTCCTCCTTCACCTGATGTCCCTCAAGGGAGCTGTTTTCAGAAGGCTTCTAGCTAGCTCTACTGTCATCTCCTCAAAATGAGGCCAGATGAGAAATGAGGCAGAACTTCCTCTTGGTGGGGATTGTTCAGAATTCCCAGATTCCCAAAGGAACTTATGGGCAGCCCTTGCCGTGAGACTCTGAAAGCAGTTCTGACCCTGGCTGTGCATTACAATCACCTGGGGAGCTTTTTAAAAGAACACGGATGCTCAGGCCCCACCCCTGGAGAGTTTTATTTAATTAGCTAGCCTGGGGTAGGCCCAGCGTCCAGAGTTTCAAAGGCTCCCCAGGTGCTTGTCATGCCCTTGGCTGCGAGATGGCTTAAGGTCAGCGGTATCTAGAGGGCTGTTTTTGGGTGCAGTTAACCCTGGGAGTTGGCTGTGTCCTCCAACTGTGTCTAAGGGAATCTAAGTACGCTTTGCTGCCGCGGCAGATGCTGCCTGACTCACATTCTGCGGGTGTATAAAACCCTCTTCTGTCGTCAGACAGCAGAGCCTGGCTTTCCTCTGGGAGGGTATTCTCAGAGAAGGCGTACGTTTCAGAGATGGGAGCTGGCTAGCTGAGTGGAGACAAGAATACTTCTTGGCATTTATTTGGGCCCCAAGATGGGCTGGGAGCAGAAAACCCAGAGAATCCCTGAGCCCTTTGATGATGGATCCTTGTGCGTCAGCAAAGGACAAACAGCATGGTGTGGCAGGAGCAGGAGCCACCCTGTGTCAGCCCTACCCAGGGCCATTTGATCCTTTTTTTTTTTTTTAAATCCTGGGCTGAGGACCGAACCCAGGGCCTTGCACGTGCTAGACGTGTGCTCTGCCACTGAGCTAAATCCCCAACCCCTTAGGGCCATTTGAGCCTGCACACTTAGCTGCTCTGGTGAGGGCAGTGACCATGGGGATTTGCTATGACCACCCATTATGTTGGAAAGTGGGCCACCAGCAGTGGCTAGGACCCTGCCATCCTAGCTTTTTAGCAGAGGAAGCTGTCTCCCAGTCTTTTTCCCTGAGTCGAGAGGATTTCTTCTTTTTGATTTTTATCCCAGACTATTTCACGGATCCAAGACTTCCCAACAAGATTCACATGCAGCTAATTGAAGACAAGAAAGCGGCTTAATTAGCAAAATCACACGATGCTCAGCTGTTGGGAGACACCAGATGGAGTCAGCCTTGGGGTGCGTGTCAGCCTCACCCTCAAGGCGGCCTCAGTCTTGGAAAAGAAGCAGTGGCTTATTGGTCCAGGGTGGAAGAGATCAAGTGGAGAAACCAGAGAAGTCCAGTGCCAGTGTCTCAAATCCTGACAGTGTTCTGGGGAATTAGGGACAGTGAAGAGAGGGCTAGACTGGTCCAACCTGTCAGTGACAGGGCTCTTCCTACTGAGTGAAGTGGATCAAGAGAATGGAGCAGGGAGAGGTGGAGAGAGGTGGAGATGGGGTGGGATGTAGCACCCAGTCGTGCTCCTGCAGTGAACAGAAGCAGTTCCCCGGCAGGTGCTCCTGGGATCAGCTGCTTTCTACCTCTCTAACCCGGGCTGGGCCACTAAGGCCAACGTGGTGTTTGTTGTTGTTCTAATTAGTCTTACCGAGAGCGCTTGCCTTTGACGCACCAGACCTAAGTGGAGTGTAACTTCTAATCTTCTGGTTGTAGGTTACACGGGCCTCGGAACGTCCATCACACTGGCTAGGAATGTCCGATTGGCTCTACTGTCATTCCCACCCGTCCCCCCCCCTACTCCCCTGGTCTAATCCATAGTCCTCCATTCTCCCCTAGCCCCACCCACAAGGCCAACACAGTTTTTAAGCAAGATAATTCCTGAGCCAATTTTAAAAGCTGCTTTTTGGTTTGTTTCTTTGTTTTAATGGGGGGCGGGGGAGGAAGGCCACACTCCTAACCTAGCAGAGCCACTTCTGTTTTGCAGGGTCCGCTGGAATTACAAGAGCCCTGTTGCCATCAGTGCGGGTCTCCAAGCTGCCTTGGGCTCTCTCTGCTATTGCAAAGGCTTTTAAAGATCCTCATTAAAACCAGACCTTCCTTTTCTCTCTGCTTGGTTTCACTGGGAAGGAGGACAACCTCCTGCTTGGGAGGGCTGCCCTGCCCCACTCTGAGCTGTTAGGCAGCAGGTCTGTGTCTGTGTCTGTTTCTGGTGGTCAGGGGCTTCTTGCTATGGCAGGGCACATTCCCACTCCAGAGCAGAGAACAGGGCTGGGGACCCTGAGAGGACCACAGCTGGCTGCGGTGGGACAGGAACAAGTGAGTCCAGATTTGAGTGTCTTCGGTGGAGGAGGAATTGGGCTGGAAGGACATGGAGAGAAAACGATATCAGACATTAAAACCCACTCAAGGTCATGAATCTTGTGAAATATGAGCCTAACAGGTGCCTTAGGATGTGGTGGACTTTGTTCTTGAGGGTCTTTAGGAATAATGTCCATCCATTTGATTTTTGGCTAAGAGGCAGGGAATGGACCAGATGGTCTCATGAAGTCCCAGAGGCTCACGAAGCTAGGAGGCATGGGGTCTTTTACGTTTATGTCATCCCTCTCTGGCCTCCACTGTCCATTGGCTCCATTGTAGGAAGAACCGCTCACCTGTGTGTCACCTGTCAACGTCACTATGGCAACAGAAGCACAGACCAAAGCAGTGGTTGTTATTTCCCTTGCCTCTGCCTGCCTTGTTCCCAACGGCCATCACCTGAGGAAGAGAAGGGGCAAAACAGGGTGTTTAGGGGACTATTAAAACTTCACACAATAAGCTGTGGGATGGGGGCCTGCGGAGCTAAGGAGCACACCCAAGCAGCTGTCGCACTGACAATGAGATATCCTTGTTTAGAAAACCCAACAAAGCCTTCAGCAAAAGCATACTCCCACCAAGGGCCTCTGGTGTGAAGGGTCACGTGAATGCTCTTGGACCCTTTCCTGGGAGAAGAGGCCTGCAGTGGTGGGAAGGTGCCTGAGTCACAGTGGGACACTGGGGTAGATGGCTCATTCTTTGGGGGTTTCCTGTTAGAAACAAGGACTACATTTCTTAAAATGTTTACATTTAAAATCCATTTCTGGGCTAGGGTTGTGACTCTCCTGGCATGTGTGAGGGCCTGGGCTCAATCCTCAACACCACATAAAAATATGTATTGTGTCCAACTACAACTAAAAAATAAATATTTAAAAAACATAAAATACATTTCAGCCAGGCATGGTGGGACAGGCCCGTAATCCAACTACTTGGGAGGCTAAGGTAGGAGGATCACAAGTTCAAGGACAGTCTGGTCAATTTAGCAAGATCATATCAAGAATATGTGGTACAGTGCCCCTGGTTTAAAAGGAAGGAAGGGAGGGAGGAAGGAAGGAAGGAAGGATGGATGGAAGGATGGATGGATGGATGGATTCAAAGCCTTCCTGAGGGAAGAATGAATTTAACACATGGACGTAGTGCTTCTACTTGGTGTCAGATGCTCTTGCTAGGTCCTGGGGGTGAGACATGACTGTCCTGCCATATAGTTGTTTATGGTCCGAGGAGAGGAGTTTCTTCCTCCCATGACTTTATCAGACTAAAAGCTTTATGAGGGCAAGAACCAAACCTAAAGATTTAACTGGTTCTCTGCTGAATTCCTGGTTCCTAGTAGGTTCTGGCAAAGAGCAAGTGCTCAGCATTTATGGAGAGAACGAATACTGCATAAGGAATGAGCGGTCACCTTACAGTGCACTAACTGCTGTAATGCAGTTCTATAGAGAGAAGCCGGTAATAATACAGAAGAAAGCAAAGGAGTGAGCGTCAGGTTTGGGTGGGGGAGTGAGGGAGTCTTGTAGACACCGATATGTGATGTGCAAGAAAGGTTTTCCCGGCAGACCTAAGGAGGAAGGGGATGATCAGAGCACCACAGCGCCTCTCATCCTTCTAAGTAGGAGGTGGGAACAGACCCTGTTTGTGGCCTGGTTACCCTCACTGCCCTATTCTTCCTTGCTAACAGAACTCCAGATTTGTCAAGGGCAGCAGGGCTCAACCTCAAGTGGTGGGTCATATTTGATCTGGGCCAACCGTAACTCTTGACTTTCTGATTTCCCAGCCTCCCTTGCAGCTAGCGGCTCCCCTGTGCCCATGAATACAGGTAGAAGGGCACTGGGGGTGGGGGAGGTTTTAGGAAAGCCTTAGCTTTCTTAAAAAAGGGGGAGTGAGTACAACTGATTGAGCTGGTGTAGCTCTCCTTTTTGATCTGGACCTGAATGTGATGTCTAGAACTGAGCAGCCATCTTAAGACCAGGAAGTGACCTAGCACGGGCGGGACCAGGGTTCGATCCTCAGCACCACATAAAAATAAAGGCATTGTGTTGTGTCCATCTACACCACCCCCCCCCCCAAAAAAAAGAAAGAAATCCAGTCCTCTAAAACATCTGAAAGATTAGAGAATCCTGGGGTCCTGGTGGTACCTTTGAGTACCTGAACAGCAGAGCGATCCCTACCTTCAGACTTCTTGGTAAGAATGGTGAATTTTAATTCTGTTTTGAAATCAGACCAGAGTTTACATCCTGACCCCCACCTGCTAGAGGTGTGGCCTTGGCCAACACTTGAGGTTCTCATCTATAAACAAGACTTGCAATACCCACCTCTGAGGTTGCTTGGATTAGACATGAATGGATACATTGCCTGTCACGTGGGAGGTGTTCACTGGTGGGCCAGCCTTGTGGGAGGTGTGTAAATTGCAAGGGTGGGAGTAGTGAGAGGAGATGGCAGATGAGGTGAGTGAGTCACAGAGGGTACTGTGTGCTAAGCTAAGGAGGTTACATTTTTATCTTGTAGGAAATGGAGAGCCAGCCAATAACTTTCCCCACATTTTTTATTGGTGCATCATAGTTGTATTTAATAATGGAATCTGTTACACATCCCTCTCTACACATGACGTAGTAATTTGGCCAGTGTCACTCGCTACTTGCCACCCCAGTCCCCAGACTCTACTGATCTCCCTTTGGTTTTCGTGAGATCTCTGTCCCCACCTTTCTTTTCCTTTTTCCTCTCTAGCTCCCACATAGGAGAGAAAACACACGACCGTTAACCCAGCCAAGAATTCTAAGTCCCGAGGAACTCATGAGGGGACGTGCATTTAGGAAGTGTGCTCACGTGGAAGACAAATTAGAGGGAGTGAAGACAGAAACGGAAAGCCGATGGGGAGACAGTCTCAACAATCTGTCACTGTTGTCTCACCCATACCCCTTCAGCACTTCTTACCCCCTCCCGACTCTCCTGTCCGCTACAGCAGTTGAGAATGTATTAAGCTGCAAGTAACAGAAAACCAGTTCATTGTGCCTTAAGCAAATAGGGACTTATTTTGCTCACCTAATGAGAAATCTGGCAGCAGGCAGGGTCAAAGTTTAGAAGTGTCACCAAGAGTAGGCCTGTTCTCTTTGACTCTGCCAGTCATCGCTTCCACCTTTTGGTTGCAGTAAGGCCTCTGCATTCCCAGGAGTCACTTCCACATTGCAGACAGGAGAAGGGAACAGAGCCAGACCAACTTTCTTGAAAGTCCTCCCCACAGTGTCTCTTGGGTCAGACCAGAGTTAAGTGGCTCACTCTGAGTTCAACAGAGACCAGGGAAGAGAGAAAAAGGGGGTCAGGAGTGGTCAGCCCCAAAGCAGGATGTGCCCCACTGCACTCCCCAACTCATTCTGTTATAGCTAGAGGGTTTTTTTTTTTGTTTTCTTTTGGGGGGTGGGGGGGGAGGGTAGGGGGAGTACCAGCGATTAAACTCAGGGGTGCTTAACCACAGGGACACATCTCTATAGTCTTTTTTATTTTGAGACAGAGTCTTGCCAAGTTGCTTAGAGCCTCACTAAGTTGCTGAGGTTGGCTTTGAATTTGCAATCCTCCTGCCTCAGCCTCCTGAGCTGCTGCGATTATAGGTGTGTGCCACTCACTACTCCTGGGTGCTAGTGTTCTTATTTATTTTGATTTTTTTGTTGTTCTTTTTAGATATACATGACAATAGTGTGTATTTTGACATATTATACATACATGTAGTATAACTTATTATAATTAGGATACCATTCTTTTTGTCTTAACTTTTTTTTTTTTAGTAGTAAATGGACACAACATCTTTGTTTAGTATTTTTTTAATGTGGTGCTGGGGATCAAACCCAGTGCCTCATGCATGCTAGGCAAGCGCTTTGCCACTGAGCTACAGCCCCAGCCCAGCATACCATTTTTGTGGTTGTACATGATATGGAGTTTCACTAGTGGTGTATTCATATATAAACACATAGAAAAGTTAGGTCCAGATCTTTCTACTGTCTTTCCTATTCTCATCCTCCCTCCCTTCCCTGCGTTCCCCTTTGTCTAATCCAATGAACTTGGGACTAGTGTCTTTAGGGTCTTTTAAGAAACCTAAGTCAGGCTATGTCACTTTCCTCCAACCCTTCACTGGCCTCCCATGAACTTAAAAACCAGTTAGCTCTCAGGCTGGGACGCAGCTCAGTTGGTAGAGAGCTTGTCTTGCATGCACAAGGCCCTGTGTTCAATTCCCAGCACCTCCAAAATAAAAATAAAAGATGAAACCCTGTTAGCTCTCCACAGCCATAAAGCTTTGCAACTCCCTCCATCCTGCTCTCCTCCATTCTCACAGTGCTCCAACCACGCGGGTCTTGCCTCTTCCTCAAGCTGGTCAAGTTCCCACTTCAGAGGCTTTGAACTCTTGTCTCGTTTCCCTTTCCCAGACCTTCACACGGCTAGTGACCCAAGTGGCCATATTCTGCGAGAGTGGCTGAATCACCCAGGGCTGGCTTTTTCCACGGTGCGTCTGGAGGTGGCAGCTGCAGATGCTGGTCCAGGGCCTGCATCTCCCGAATCTCCTCTTTCCCCAGAGAAGGACCAGTGGGACCAGGAAGGGGCTACTTGATGATGTGTCCTCCCTCTCAGGAAGTGACAGCTTCCCCGGCACACACGGCATCCCAGTCGACTCTCATCCCAGTCGACATCTCTTTGGCCAGAACTATGTACCTGCCCCTCTGAAAACAAGGCTGAGAAACTGAGTATTCAGGCAGCCTCAGGGCTCCACATGGCTGCCCATCACCGTCTGAGAGTCCTCTCCTAGGGCCTGACTGAAGCAGCCTCCCCAACATTATCGTGATTTAATTTGTGGTGCTGGGGATCAAATCCAGGGCATCGAGCATGCTAAGCAAGCTCTCTACCACTGAGCCAATTCCACAGCCCTCTCCCAGACAATTTTAAATTTTTAATTAAAAGATTTGTTCCCCCCAGCCATTTTCCATTATCTCGTTTATTTTATTTTCACTGTGTGGGCGCCAAGCATGTGGACCCCGGTGAGCAGGCCTCATCAGTCCTGTTGTGGGCTGGTACCTACAAGCCTCTGGCATCTGCAGCTGTCAGCTTGTGTTTGCTGAATAACTACGTGGCTAGATGGGTGGGCGAACAGGCAGTTGGAAGACTGACTTCTTGATCTATGCAGTGGTGTGGAAACAGGATGCATACTCTAGACATGGTTAGGAGGAACTGAGGGAACCTGTGATTTGAATAAGGAAGGTAGAGATTCTAGAATGACTTCCGAGAGGTTTCTTGTTTGGGCAAGTGATGATGGGACCATTCATTAATACAGAAGGGAAGGAGGTAGGAACATGGGAAATGAGGGAATGAATTCAGACCAAAGGGTCTCCACTGCGTGTGCAGCTGCCCACGGGTGATGTTAATACTCATGGCTCTGGCAGGAAGGCGGAGGACGCGGTGGGCTCAGTAGCAATTGTAACAGGAGGATGTGGAAGTGGACGCGTTGCCATGCGGACAGCTTTATGGGAGCACGGCTGTGAGGGCAAGATGGAGGGGCAGCAGTCGCTGAGGGGAAGCAGGTCAAGGGTGGGCTCTTGTAAGGGGAGATGCTGGAGTCTCCAGTGATCTGATGTCATCATCTGATCTATTTTACTTTTAGGTTTTAAAAGTTAGGATTTTCTTGGAGTTGTTGCTCAGATGGGATCTGAAACCCAGA